CCTCTCCAGCCTGTCCAGGTCCAATTACAAGAGGTGTAACCGTTTCTTTGGCAGATTTTCAACCCTCAAAATTGCAATTCTTGAGTTTTAGGGCACCAGCAGTGTTACCTACTTATTTTTAAAGGTCTGATGGCAATCTTCAGAAATGGACTGACAAGCAGTTAGTTGCCTACCAATTTAAAGATGGTTCCTGAATGACATTGCTCTTGAATCACAGCTATAGGCAAGCATGGCTGTAGCAACTCGTCAGTATTTATTATCTGCTTCCTGATTTTTAACAGCTAGCATTTTTAATTACGTACCTTAATTAGGTGTATCCTTTAGCTAACTCATAGCAACCAAAAATAAACAGCATTCATTTGTTTAGGAAGTAATTCTGGGAGCCTTTTGGAAGTGAGATGTTGAGTGGTAACTGCTTTGTAAAAATGGATATTTAAGTATAAAAACTCATGTGTATCTTCTGGAAAAAAAATCCTCTTTTTTTCTGGAAGAAGGAATTAATATCTGGGCCTGTTTCTTGTTTTCTGACAAGGAGCACACAAGTTTGAAACTTTTAAAAATGAAAACGCATCTTCCTACAGAAAGGAAAGTTTAGAACATGTGTGAAAATGTCTAACTTCACTTTGTTACTTGTAGAACTGTCCTGATAAAAACTTCCCAGGACAGGAAGATAAGCAATGTAGGAGCTTGCTGCCCTTGATTAGTGACCAGTCCTATCTCTGCTGGCCTTCCTTGCTTTGAGGGTCATCTGCTGAGGACTTGCACGAGCAGGTTTATTTTGCTAGCAAGGAACAAGAAGCAGTCCCGGGGGGGAGTGGGGAAAAAAAATCAAAAAGAAAAGGTGCAGGAGGCAGGCTTTTTGCAGTGAGTTTACAGCAGGTCTTTTAGGAGTCTAGTAAGTCCTAGACCTGGTTTTAGGAAGGAGGAACTTTGGAATATGGGCTTGGAAGGAGCCTTCAACCCTTTCGGCCTTCCACAGTTGACTATGCCTGTGGCATAGGTGTTTGGATCACAGAGAGAAGTAGATTTTTTTTTTTTTTTTTGGATGCAATTCAAAGATTTGACCACAGAAACTCGTCTGTTCTGAGCAGTAACATCCATTTAATAGAACTGCAGCAGTTTTTATGAAGTTGTTTTAAGGCTGGTATAGAATGTGTGAAATAAATTGATGCATAAACTGGAAGACAGTGATATATTTAATTTGAAAGAGGATTAACAAATTATGAGGCAGCCTTGAATAGGACCCCTTTTTTTTTCTTTTAAAAACAGTGCTTGCAGTGCTATTAGAACTGTATTTTGAAGTATTTTTATCTGCTGAATCTTAAGCACAAGTAATGCAGGCTCTATCTATATAAAATCAATGTTTAGCAACTAAGAATTAACTTGCTTAAGATTTGCTGGTATGTACTTGATGAATAAAATAGAGTTTTTTAATAGGTAGAACTTTGGAATAGATTAGTACTACTTGTTGCTAATGTATACTGATCTGCTTAGTGGAAGGATTTTAAAGTGAATTTATTTTATGGAAAGGAAACTTCAAATGTATCTCTTACTAGGCAAAGATATAGGATGTTTTAGTAACTTGATCCTGACCATTTCACTAAGCATGGTGTTTATTGCTAACGGAAATCCTCCAGCTTAATTCTCTTTAGTTCTGTGGCTGTCATGTAGTTTGGCTGTGTCATGTGCATGCTTCACACTGCATGAAGCCCTAATGACTTGTTTCAGGAGTAATCCAATACTAGTAAGAAACAGGATTTGAGGTCTTACACAAAGCTGGGAGGGAGCAACTGTCAGTTTCCTGTTTCAGTTCTTGATACGTGAAGAATCAGCAGAGGGGAATGACTTGATTTTTCTTAATGATGAGTGAACAAGATTATGAAGAAAGTGGGCCAAACCCAAGTGAGTCTCTTTAACAGACAATACCATTGTTTTAATGACTTTTTTGCTGAAATGGCAGCTTCTGTACTTCCAGCTATATTATAAATAACTTATAAAGAGCTTTTGTAGTGTGTGTTCATTAGAAGTAGGCTGTACTTGATTATAATAGTGGCCTTAAGTAAAGGAAAACTAAAATTTAGTGATGTTGCTACGGTAGGTGGTAGTTGTAGTATTAGAATTCTCCATTATGTAAAGGCGTTTACAAGGAGCTTAAGTACACCTTGCTCTGCTTTTCAGGATAACTTAAATGAATTATGCTAGTCATTGATAAAAATAGTGCAAGAAATTAGTGATACAGTAAATACATGTAGATATTTTTTAATATAAAAACCGCTAACATGCAACTTCGAAGTAGATTGCGCTGAATTCTTAAACCCATCTGATGCAAAAATTCAGAGGCAAGATGTGTTCAAACTAGGTTGTTGATTCCTTTTCGTAATTTGAATTAAAACAAGGTAGTGGCTTTTGAAAACTTGAGTTTTAGAACTCTGAAGAATACTTCTACACAGTTTTGGATTAGGAGTGATAAGAAATTAAATTTTTAAGTTTGAATTCTCTTTAGTTGCCTGCCAGTCAATAAGTTGGACATGTAGGGAGTAACTATGCGTGATAGAAGACAGAATCACAGTTTCATTACAGGCAGCTTTCTTGGACATGAAACCTCTATATATCAGTTTTAATGACATTTAAACTTTATGTATTTTTACCTTTAAAATGTTTGTTTACATTAACAGCAAATGCTTGTTTACTCTTGTGCAGACAGGATCTTATCTTCATATTCTCAGTTTGTAGTGATTTGTTCTTCATGTGACCGAATACTAACTTCAAGGTGTTTCCCTAATTCTTACTCTAAACTGTTATTTTTCACTTGTATCTGGCTAATCAGAACCTACTTGATGATACATGGACTGTGATTAAGAGTTGACCTTTGGAAACTATAAAAGGTTAGGGCTTTTCTGGGAAGTATTATTCTTCAACTACATTCTGCCTTAGACAGCAACCTATGAAGTTAGAAATTTCTGGTGGGAAGCAAAACTTCAGTTTTCCACATGGACTTGTTTAGAGAACAGCTATACCTTATCATGGCTAAGCCATCTTATTTGGGGCCATGTGGTTCAAAGGTTTTAGGTCATTCTCACTTCTTTGAACACTGCGTGTATGCTTTTGCCATATGAAAAGAATTTGCTTTTATTTTTCAGATAGATGTTCAACTCTTACAGTATGACCTGAGGCATAGGTGCTTGCTTTTTTGGTCAAGATGTGTTTGAATATAAAGGCAAATAGGAACGTCTTTTGAATGTGAGCAATAATGACAGACTGTGGGACATTGAGGAAGCAGTGAATCTGGAAAGGATTTAGGGGTCAGACTGGAATAGAATAACATGAGCTTGGTTTAATGCTGTGGTAAAGAGGGCTATCCTGATCCCTGGAGTAGAGGTGATGATTATACTTCTGTAAATAGTATCATTGAGGATGGTGTTAGAAGGCTGTATTTGATTTTTAAAATTTGACTTTTTTTCTGTAACTTAAAAACTGGAGGGAATGTTGCTACAAAAAAGATTAAAGATCATTTAATCTTTAATTAATGGAAAGAAAATGGAGATGAAAACGCATTATTACTTAATTGTTCCAGTTTTTCAAAAGGAAACTTGAGATGATTTGATATGTATTGTTATCTTCACAGATGGGAAATATCTGCAAGTGGTTTAAGTTTGTGTACTAGGATTTTATAGCTAGAAGTTTGAAAAGAGCCAAATTTAAATAATAATAAGGAACAATTTCTTTGACTTTTTTCCAGTAATTAAAAAAACCACACAAAAAACCCCCACAAAAAAACCCAAGCCATTGATTTCTATAAAGACAAATGAATAGGCTTTTTGTCTTATTTCAGCTCTGAAAACAGACACATACACTGGTCAAATCTGGTTTGTTTGTTTGTTGTTGTGTTTTTTTTTTTCTTTTTCCCCAAAGTTATAGAGTGTAATGCAGCATTGTATTTCTGCAACTTGTGGAAACACAGGAAATCAGATTAGATGGTGTAATATTTTTGTCCTTAATCTCCTCAACAAGCATCCTAGTGCAAATTTAGTATCACTTAAATGATCATTTCCTTATGCCCCAGGCCACTGCCCTACCACTTTCTCTAGGACCAGACAGGTTGGTGGGGAACCAACCACCACTATAGTCCCCTGATTTAGTATTGTTGGCATCAGAGCTAAGGAACTGGTTTTGCTTATGCTTGTTCCTACACTGATGGTGTCTCTAGCGACAGCACAGACATTTGTGTAGTGAACACGGAGTCATCTGGATTAAAAGTAGCAGCAAGAATAAAGGCAAAAGCAAAAGTGTAAATCTTGTCTTTTTTTAGTTGTGATTTTCCAGTGAATCCTTGCTTTTGAAGAAGGTATGAGCTAAAGACTGGGATAGTAGTTTATTTTGTTCACCTCACCATGGCTGATGACTGTGTGGTGAAGTCCTAAAATTAGTTCTTTCTACTGGATGGTGTCATACACCTCAATTTGAGCTACGTGTTTGTAAGACTTGCTGTATTTCTAAGTGTATTAAATAAGCACTCTCCCAAAGGTGTGTTTTGATTTACAGGCAATATGATTTTGTTGATAGTAATGCTGAAAACTCAAAAGGAGCTTGTTTGAAGGTGTTCACGGTTGTAGGATTAGTCAAGAAACTGCAGATGAGAGAGTACTTGTCAGCACATTATTGTGGTCACTTTATCAACACTGATCCTCTTTCAACTAGAGCTAAAATAGATAATGCTGATCATGTCAAATACTGTACTAGTTCTTTACCAAACATTCACAGAGACAAGTGTGTTAAAGAAATAGGAGTTATACAGTCTGGAAGTGACAGACTGCTTTGAAGAGTAGTATTAGACAGCTTTAAAATAGGTAGAATGTTGTTTGGGATGACTGGAATAGGATTTGAAAGTTAAGAATCCTAAGTTCTGCCCTTCCATTTGAGGTCTGTTACGTGCATTTGACAAGACTTGTTTGGTAGAGACCTTGTGCTCTCAGCATTTTCCTGTTGGAGCAAAGCCAAGTAACTGTTTCTTTAGGAATACAGGCATGTAAAGGAAGACTTCACCATTCTCCTACCTACAACTTAAAATACTTAATGTACAGTGCTGAGGTGCTGATGTTTACCTCCAGAACTGTTGAGACAAAACTGGATTCCTTAACCTTGGGATTGTGACTATTGATTCACATTGTTCGTTTGGCTACCTTTTTGATGTTTCGATCAGTCTAACGATACCCACTTGAAGTAGCAACTCCAGTGACGTTGCACTGTGTATGAATGCAAAACAGTACCTGAAATTCCCCAGCTCACTTTTGGAAGAGTAATCCTTTCTGAAGGGATTGGAAGTACTAATATTTGACTAGTAAGTACAACTACCAGCTCTCAGTAGGTGAGAAAGTCAATAGAAGCATGGTCGCAGAAGATGATTTTTATTTTAACTTGGGAATGTGTCTTGTTACAATTGTCTTACAAACATTTTTAGCAAAAATAACATGGTCACCCCAAGGAACGGGGCTGAAAGAAAAAGTGTTCCAAAAATCTTGGGAAGTCTTAGCCAAGAAATCGTAGTGCTTATATGCTTGAGCAAGATGATGAGGGGAATAAGCATGTGTTTGCTTGGGGACAGAGTTGCTTTTTGTTGCCTGTGGGAAAAGCTAGCTGAACCTTCTTCTGAGTACAGTGGAGCCGATTAAAGGGTAAATGCCAATTTCTCAGCCCATCTTGTGCCAAACCAGCATGTTCCGTGCACTGTGAAGCATCTCACAGTTGTGAGGTGTTGGTCCATGAGGGAGCTTCTCTTGTGTTCGCAGCGCTCCTTCTGCTGGCCTTCAGCAGCATTGTTGGAGGAGGGGAATCAAGCCAGGCGGTAGGACTTGAAGCAATGGGGGACCAATTATAAACTGTAGAGAAACACAAAAATGAAAGCTGGAGGATGTGGATAGAAGGAGTTACGTTGTATAAGAATAATATTTGTGGATGAATTCAACAACAATTTTTCTCTGGACTGTGACATTAATTCTAGAGCCCTACTGGACAATAGCTACCTTTTGAGTCGGTTATGTTAGTATACGGCTTCTAGGTCATGATACTGTTAAGTATAGTGATTCTACAGAGAGTCTACGGGACTAGGAAACTACGGAGAGCAGTAGGAAGTATGTCAGGGATGTAGTAGCTCATCTGCTTGAGGGACAGAGATCTATTTCTGTTTTTATCACAACCAAGATAATACTTCGTGCTGAGTCTGGTGTCCACGTTAGCAAGAGCTTTGTTCTGGGACTCTGTGTGGGGAGGAGTGTTTTGGAGTGGGCAGAGTGGAGGACAAAGGGAGAGGAGTACAACTTGTTCTCCTGCTCGTCATTAATTCTGTAGTGAAGAGACTGTAGGTGCTATTGCTGTAACTTGTGCATATAAGGGCAAATGTGCAGACATGCATGTAATAGCTGTTGTATTGTGTGAGATAGAAGGCAGACAGTAATACTGTATTTTTTTTGAGAGGTATGCCAGAGCGGATCAGGGCATTTCCAGCTTAATGAGATTGATATTTCAGTAAGGAATAGAGTAAATATAGCTTGCCGTGGAATAGTCCCCACAACCTTTACAAAGTAATTAGTTTTATATTGTTTTTTCATAAATTCCTACCTTAACTATTGAAGACTTTTTTGAGGGGGTCAATAAAGTAATGAAAAAGTAAGTTGGCTTGTTTGTTTGTTTGTTTTGTTTTGATTTTTTGTTCTTGCCCGGAAGGTTTATGTGAAGTTCTACTATCATGTTCTCTTAAGTAAACTAGAAATATGGGGCAGGGGAGAGATCGGTATAAATATTAAGAGATAATAATTAATAGTTGAGAGGCAGAACACTGTACAAAGATTAAACTGTTAAAGTGAACTTAATTTCCTTGAATGTGGACATTGAGTCCATGTGGCTGGGACAAAGACACAGTGTTTGGCAACCACCTCCCATTTTATCTAGAGCCAGTTCTTCAACCAGCATCTTCTGACTATTCCTTTTGTTTCTAATTGTTGCACTTTTCCACCAGCGGATGGGATTGCCAGGGAAAGTAGTCCCTTCATTAACAATGCAGAGATGGACAGAGGAAACATCTATGAAGGAAAGAATATGGCTCTATTTGAGGTAAGTTAAATACCCCAAAATCATATTTCTCATTTGACTGAGGCTCTGGTAGCAAGTTGAAAACAAGCAAAGCCCTGTTTTCTTTCTCATTAAATTTGAGGCACAGGGGAAATGATTTTTAATAACTCTTCAGTAGTTTGGTTCCTGTTAGCATTACATTTTAGTGGATTTGAATACTGTAATAAGAAAGCAGTGCTAAGATTTTTCTTCTATAATTTAGTTTATCTGTATAAACAAGAGCAGTAAATTTTGGTATGCATTGATGTGAAGATACGAAATAAGCCTTTTTGCCTTTAAGATTTTTGGGCTGGGATCTAGAAATGTTAGAGAAAACTGCTGAAAGTCAAATTAGCAGTTTTAACAAAGCAGTATCCAATTTTAAAAGGATTAGCAAATATGTTGAACAAGGGAAACAGACTTCTCTCAAAGCAGCAAAATTATAAAACTGTGATAGGCCATGACTTAGTTATACTGTCCAATTACAGTGTAGAGCATGCCATAGCTGTTTCTGCTTTCTAATATAAATATCTACTTTGTAATGCAAGCTTAATACCGGTCTAATTTACCAAGTGATGGCAATCACTTAGAGAAAATAAAGAAGTATATTGATATGGTATATTTAAGTGCCACTTCCAGTAAAGTACAGTGTCATGGCAAAAGTTTAACTTAAGTTCTGCTCTAGCAGCATCAAGTAGTCTTGCTTCGATGCTTGCTGTTAACAGTAAACATAAAGGTCCTTCCAGTGTTGCTTGCTCACCTATCTTGCTGTTGCATTCTACCCACTGTTTTCTTTGTCTTATACTCCTCTCTTCTTCCTTTCAAATATCTCTGCACAGAGGACATGATCTTTCTGCATAACCCAAATAATATATTTTAGGTATTTTTCATTGAGTCTTAGAGAAAAGTTCGTGTTAAGGATCAAAGTAATGTTGGTCATTAATTGTCTCCTTGTCATGTATGGAGTTTCTTAGTATTTCTTGACAGAACCATTGTAGTAGAGTTGTTCCTGAATTTCTCTCCTTCAAGCTCTGTTCCATAAAGCAATGTCCAAAACTTCTTGTGTTCAAATTAGCTGTTTTATTCCTCAGTGTTGGAAAAATTGGCCATAGCTGCTTTTTTTTTTTTCTCTCTAATCTCCTCTGAATATATGCTTGCATCAGTTATTTTGAATACTGGCTGACATTAAATCCTCAATTGTTGGTATAATGATGATTATCTGTTCATAGACCATGCCTTTATAGTGTTACCTTGAAGGTGTTCTAGTGACTTCATCACTATTGCTGTTGTAGAGGTGAATCTTTTTTGGTAGCATATATAGATTTCATAGAATGTTTCCTACAATGTTTTTGTTCTTGTGTTTTCAGCTGACTTGTGGTGGTTTTTTTTTTTTTTTTAAATGAATTGTTACAAAGAAGTTTGGTTATTATAACCATGATTATCATGACCTAATGCCTCAGAGAGATGCCTTCATTCTTGTCTTTGTTTGCAATCCTGATCTCTTCTTCCTTCCAATATTTCATCTTGCATAATTGATTGAGTTTTGCGGTTCTTTTGTTGGAATCCTCTTATTGTATATGCTTCTGGATTTTATATGTTTTAGCATGTTTTTATTTTTTAGCATGTGTGTGGCTGAAGAAAGATGGGCTGACTTCTGTGTCAAGTAATATTACATACGTGCAATTGCATATGATAGGCATATGTGCCTGTATTTTCAACAAATGAATACTTTGGAAGTAGTATGCGAGGTTTAAGGTAAAATACACAAGCCTGCAACAGTAGGCTTGAGAGTGATCCTTAAGTATCTTGGTGCTTGAGAGAATCAATTGATGCCACTCTCCAGACGCATGCAAGATGCTGGAAAAACACCCTAATGATTCAACCCTGCCAGTACAATCCCTGAAGAACTGTATTGTGATAGGAATAGATTTTTATAATTGACAATGGCCCTTTTCTAGATTTTCTTTGTTCCAGCTGTACAAGCTGTATAGTATAAGATGATGTAAAAAAAGTGAAAGAAATATTATGAGGTAGCCACAACTACTAGAAATACAACTCTTGTTGGTTGAAAGCTGACTGGTATTTTGTCATGCAAAATTTTAGGTTTGGCTGAATCAGGGCTGACCCGATGAGTATGTATTTGAAGTAGTATCATAAAATCATTACTTTAAAAACAACTTAATAAATACAGTGTTCTTAAAATCCCAACAGGAAGAAATGGATAGTAATCCCATGGTGTCATCTCTTCTTAATAAACTAGCAAACTACACTAATCTGACTCAAGGTGTGGTAGAACATGAAGCAGACGAAGACAGCAAGCGAAAGGAAGTCAAGGTATTTCAACTTCCAATAAGTTACTGAGACAAAGCTACACACACAGGGGAGCATTTTTCAATGTAAAAAGAAAAAAACCTGGAGGTAGCATTTGTGATACTGTATTTAAAACTGAGGCATTTGCAGTAGGACTTGTGTTCATTCAGTGTTCCTGTTAGCATGTTTTGGCAATACCTTGCTGTAAAAGCCCTGGATAAAATGCATACAAAAGTATGACCTGAAACATGCAATGTACCCACTTTCCTCTTCCTTTCCTTTCTTCTGTCCTTGTATGAGCATCAGTACCTTTTTGTGTACCTCTAGTGAGGATACAGTATGATTTTATTTTTTCTGGTTTATTAATACATTTTAATTGGTTGTTTTTTTACCTGAAGTTGAAACTTAAGGAAATTTTGAGATGAAAGGGGTCACTTTGAAATGCATAAGAATACTTGCTCCTGTTAATGTGGTAGCATTTTTGCTGAGTTTTGCTCTTGTTTCTGTGTGTCAGAGTAAATATTTTTAAAACTTGATGGGCACATTCCAAGGAAAGATTTTGCTGCATACATCAAAAATACGATTTTTTGGGGGAAGGGAGAGTAGAGCAGAGCGGAAGATGAGGGGCAAAGGCTGTGTTTGGCACATCCCTAAACGCAATCGCTAGAAGACAGCGGTGGAGTTCAAGGGTTGTCAGCTGGGTAACCAAAAGTGCCAGTCTGGACTGCTGTAGAAATGCAACGTGCGCAACAGTTGGTGTCTACAACAAAATGTTGGAGTTATTCCTCTGTGAGCAGGGGGCTGTTTCGGAAGGAGAGAAAGCTTGGATCAAAAACATGTCAACTGACAGGCTACAAAAACTCCACAGCAAGGAGGGATGGTGAACTGGAACTGGTTGAGCGTGGCGACTGAAGCTAAGAAATTGAGGGTAGATAATGGGAAGAGGAGGGTACCGGGAGTCACTTACTTTGTGTAGGAGAAGCAGTGCAGCTACTGAGTTTGTATGCTGAGCTATGGAGAAAGGAGGAGAAGCATGTAAGAGTGAATAAAAGGAAATGAGCACATAGCAGAAGTGGCAGGGATGAAAAGGTGCTTGAGAAGAAGTTTAGAACTAGAGCTCATCCGACTGGAGGAGAGGTTTATGGTGTGGTACCTGAATATTTGCAGTAGAACTGTTTGCACTAGGACTTCACTAGTATAAAGTTGTTACCTGGACGGTGAGCAAGGGCGAGGAATAAAGTGCAGCTATGTGTTTTAACTTTTTGCTTATCCTGCATTTGTGTATGTGTGTTTTGCCTCATTGTGCTTGTTCTTATGTGTTTTATCTCATCTGAAGATACAGCTCAAGTTAGGAGAAGACCAACACTGATCAACTCATGCTTTCCTTTAGTGTGATCCCTGTGCTCCATCCGCCTGCTGAGCAGAGGTTTTTGTTGCTGCAGCACAGTGGTGGTGCCTCTGGAAGTGACCAGCCAAATGAGCACTGTGTCCTCACTTGCACTTAATCTCATTTGAGCACCATATAGTAGCCTGAAAACATGGTATTGATGCCCACGTCTCCTTTTTTTTCAATGCCCTGTCTGAAGTTAAGTGATAGGTAGTAGCCTGGCAGAGTAGCATTTTTTAATGGCATAACTGAGACAGCAGCAAAGATACTGCCAAAGATGCTAAAAATAAGAGATTGTAGTATAAATGGCATTCCATGGTTCCTTCGAAGTACGTGGATACTTGGTGTTTTCTTAATGATGTTGTTAACTTTAAGCTAGCATCGGGCTTCATTTTATTTAAATTAATTGCCTCTTTTCACAGTTGGAGCTCTTTAAGAAGAGCTTTTGTATCTGGAAGCCTATTGCTTCTAAGCTGGGTATTTCAAGGCCTGATTTCTTCCTAAGTGTAGAAGGCTGGAACTTTAATGATGAAGCCTGAATGCTTTTGTGTGTCTCTTGACCTATGATGATCACCAGCAGATAAAAAGTACAAACAAATATACTATGTTGTGGTAGGTTTTACAACTCTTGGAAAAACAAACTAGTCAGCTTTGCATTTCTTATAGCCTTGTCATAATACCTTGTCCATACCTTTTTTAAAAAATTGGAAAGGTTTATTGTGGAATATCACACTGTGGGCCAGCTGCAGGGCAATTAGCGATCAGCGTTTTGCAGAAGATATTTGGAGTTCTGATTATGGCAGTAAATTCTTACAGTGTAGCCTGTAGAAAACTTCAGAAGACAGTTTGCAAGGCCTCGTAATCAACAGATAAAGGAGTGTCCTACCCCTACCAAGGTTTCAGCCTGTTTCCTACGGAACAAGAGAGTTTGCTATCACAAATAGTTTTCTGTCTTTCCAGTACTCTTTGTGCATAAATAGCCTATGAATATTAGTGAAGATGAACACTCTGAAACTACCATTCCGTTTCACTTGGCGTTTGTGATCAGTGTTTGCAGAAGAGAGCGCTTATGGACTTAAATTGTTTAGTGCCAAAGGAATTAATGTTCTGACCTTGTTTCCAGGTTCCACGTATGGGTACTTTTATTGGTGTGTACCTGCCCTGCTTGCAAAACATCTTGGGAGTAATCCTTTTCTTACGGTTAACATGGATTGTGGGGACAGCTGGAGTTCTCGAGTCTTTCATCATCGTGTTCATGTGTTGTGCTTGTGTAAGTTAACCTTTTTCTTTACCACTAGCCAAATCTTCTGTTACAAGCGTACTGCTGCCATCTATGAGCAGCAGAGAAAGGATTCTCCATAATGGCTAAGGATCGGTGCAATTGGGAGACATGGGATGCAGGTATATGCACCGAGTGTCGTGTCATTCTAGCTTGTATGGGCTTCTGAGTTGATCACAAGCTTTTGTTCAAAATATTAGATAGATTTTATTAAATCATCTCTTAGCAAATATTTCTTGATTTACATTGAGGTCTGAACTGTTCTGCTTTTCCCAATTTCAGAGCAAACTGAAATATGAACTATAAATACATGCACAAGCATTATGACTGTAAATCAGTATTTTTGGAATGTGAGACCACTAGTAGATGATACTGTCGTAACAATGACACTTGATCAGATTGTCACTGCTATTTAACTGGAATAATGAACATCTTATTTTAAGTATATTCATTCGTTTTTTTCTTCCAGTTCTTCTTAAAAGACTGTCTCAAGCATCTAAATTAACTGAATCTTCTACTGGAATATTTAGTAGTAAAATTAGATGGATATCCGTAACCAAAGATATCACTATTGGTTGCTGTACATCTTATGTAAATAAAGAAAAAAATCCTAGTATTTGATCACTTTGATTTGCCCCATCTTTCAAAAAACATTCAGTATTTTAAATTTCCTCTGTTTCTTCTTTCCACAGACTATGCTAACTGCAATTTCAATGAGTGCAATAGCAACAAATGGTGTAGTTCCAGGTAATGAAGAATTTAATCTTAAATGGTGAAGGGCCAAATGATGGAATTTTTAAAGCTGGGATAAGAAATTATTGTAGTTGGAGATATCGGAAGTAATGTTTTTGTGTCGAGTGCATATTTTAACTGGTTTATAAATGACTCTGAGTTGAGATGCAGTCTTTTAACTGGCCTTTCTGGGAGTTATTAACTGTAGCACATTTTTGTCATCAATCATATTTGATTCTGTTTGAATGAAAGATGTTAGAATTTGAACTAATGTCGACTTCATGCAAAGCAGATTTCTTTACAAATTTACAGATAAGGCTAGATTGTTTGCTTTGTGGTGGGCTTTTTTTGTCTAAACTTGCATAGACTCAGTTTCTAAACACTGCAGCTAGTTATGTTGTTTTCTGCAAGAATAACGGCCAGTCTGCTTTCACAGGTCTTTCTATATAAGCACTTCAGGTTATGCTCACCTTAAATTTTAAGGAGGAATAATTGAAGAGGAACAAGTTAACCTATGAAGCTGATTATTTTTTTAGATGCAAAATCAGTTAGCCTTTGGAGCTCTTTTCAGTTTCTCAACACATTAATTTATAATACTGGTGTTCAGGTATTGTTATGGACTCTTAATGGTTTACCTCATGAGGTTAAAATACTCGCTTGCAGAGCTTCTCAGGGCTTAGTAAGGGACTCCCGGACTGATGCGTACGTTGTTGAGCAAAAGTAAACTTGTGCACGGTGTAGAATAACTGTGTTTCATGGGTACAGTACCACGTATGAAATATAAATACAATAGGAAATCTTGTTTCAACTACATTTCATTATAAAATTTAAGTGTGTTTTCTGATCTGTGTCTGGATTACTAAAACATTCTGCTCTTTTTACACCCCCCCCCACTTTTAAAATTAATTGTAAAAGTTTTGCTTAACACGTTAGTGTCAAAGAAATCTGATGTTGGCAGTTCTTTTCACTAGACAGGTCTTCATATTCACTTTTTTCTAAAACTGGCACCAACAAAAATGCTGTTTCTGCTGGAGTATATGGAGGAGGCAGAAAGCACAGGTAGAAACCTAGGACTGAGAGAGACCTCCCTGAGAAGCAGGATCTTGTCCCTTGCCGTTATATGTAACAGCATTGTATTTAGTAAAAGGGTTGGTGATACATCATTTTCTTTTTTTTTTTTAGTTTCTCATTTTGTTCATATTGAAAACCAGTTTCGGACTGTCCTTTGACTAGAAGTGTGTTTTATTTGCAGACTGATGTTACAGAAGGCTCCTATGTGTTTATTTACAACGAAGCACTTCCTTTCTGCCTCTTCTTTCTTCCTCAGTTGTCAGTGGGAAAAACGTCATGTATTTAAGAGAAGGAGGGGGAACCAGAGAAGAGCATGCCTTGAGGGGGCTGGGAGGGAAGTCTAGATGAAGAGCTTGAAACTTAGAGCCTTATTCAAAGGGAAATGGTAGAGTGGAAGTGGGGGGTGGGGTGGTGTAGCTTGTGACTTTAAAGATGATGCATGTATATGGGAAATATGAGTGAGAAGAATGTGCAGAAAAGAAACACCTACCTAACACTTAAATGGTACCAAAAAAAAAAAAAAAGCCTGTAGTGAGGGTGGTAATGGTTTCAAGCGCAGAAAAGAGAGAGACTGAATGTTAGTGTGACAAACTTTATTTTGTCCCTCTCTTGTAAAATAGTCTGTTTATTTTTTGGGTTTTTTTTGTTTGATTGTGAACAGCTTGAGGTTAGGAAGTGAAGATTGATTTGCATCTATTTATACCTGTATATCCTTTTCTTAATTTACTTTTAGATTGTTAAGCTTGTGAATCTTTTTCCTCTTTTTCAGTGTTTATTTTCTATTTCCCAAATATTCACCTTGAAATGGGCATTCTAACTGCCTACTTGGTATAGTGGTTTAATATAGTTTTGCTATGAACATTTCAGTGGAGACACATGCAGTAATTATCTACTGAATGGTTCAAACTTTTGTTCTCTACTGCTGTCCTTAATTTAAAGGGCTGGAGGTTTATTTTGTTGTTAAATTTGCAGCTGGAGGCTCTTACTACATGATTTCAAGATCTTTAGGGCCAGAGTTTGGTGGAGCAGTGGGACTTTGTTTCTACTTGGGTACGACCTTTGCAGGAGCAATGTACATTCTTGGTACCATTGAAATTTTATTGGTAAGTATTAGTTTCTCTTCAGACTAAATATTTGTTCTGTTTTGGGAGATTGCTGAGGAATGCGCTTGGCCTAGAATGCATTCTGGTTTGGTGATTTTAAATGTTTTGATACTGTATTTCCTGTATGTCAGTATTTATTCTGACTGTACTTGTGAATATTTGAAAAACTTAAAATTCTGCTCAGCAATACAGCAAAAAAAAAAAA